TGGGTCTGTGGGAACCAGTAGGGATTTTCCCTTTAAGACCAAGGGGAGGCCATATGGGGTTGTTGCGAAGGTTGTTGCCTCTGCCATATGCTTTCCTATTAACTCCAACCCAAACTGTCCCTCATCCTCCTTCCTCAGCTCCTGGATGACTTCGAGGTGGGAGCAAGCGGAGCTTTTGATTTAGGAGTGAGTACTACGGTGCCCTCAGGAGGTGCCTCCCATTTGGGGAGCCCCAGGTCCTCAGTGGTTTTTGAGGAGGTTCTGGTGCCCACTGGGATCTCCTCATTTCTCCCACTGCAGCTTAAGTTGCTACGAGGAAAGCGGAACTCCCATCCCCTTCCCCCTGTTCTGCTGGTGCTCCCAGATCCCGTGGTTGTGGATCTTCCTATCAAAGTGAGTGACACTGGGGGACCCCTGTATCCTGCAGGGTCCTGGGCTGTGGGGGGACCCCAAATCCCTCTGGACTGGGAGGTGTGGAGGAGATCAAAAAGGATCCAAGAAGAACAGTGCTGTCCCTGTAAGGTGCAGGTGATTGTCGTGATACCATAAGGACCCCATAAGGTCACCCAAAGAACACAAAGGGTTCTGGTGCCATACAGACCAAATAAAGTGACCATAAGGTCACTGCCTGCACTTTGACTTTCAGGATGAAACACTGGTGTGAACCCTGTGCTGTCCCCACCATGTTCCATAAGGACTTGATCATCCCTGCATATCTCCACCAGATCTTTGAAAGAACACAGTCTGTTTTCCCATAAAGAAACACCAATAAACACCGCCAGCAAAGCTCCTGCGTCCGTGTGTCCCTCTATTCTTGCATCCATCAGTCCCTTTGTCCTTTTGTCCATATGTACCCGTTATCCCCGCAGTAACTCCATTATTCCACGATTCTGTGATATCCAGTGGGTTGGACACAGTACTGAAGTTGTGGAGATGGCACTGAGTGACGCTGGGGGGGACAGCCCACGAGAGGTAGCACCCAATGTCCTCTGGAGCCCTCAGCACAATTTCTGACTCCTTTTGGTGCCGTTTGGATGCGTTCTGTCCCTCCTGCACTCTCCCTGTGGGGCAGCTGCAGCCCCTGCCCTCTGCTTCCCTCTCCCTCCATCTCTTCTTCCCTCCATCCCTCCCTCCATTCTTCCTCCAATTTCTCCTCACTTGGCCTTGCCTTCTACCCGCCCTCCCAGCTAGTGGCAGGGCACCCAGTCCATTTGAATTGAAGCCATAAGAGGGTGCTGTACTCCTGGTGCTTTATAATCCTAACAAAGCTTTTTCATTTTCCCCTTGATGTAGCCCACCAAAATCTTTCTCCATTGCAATTAATGATCCCTTTAAAGGCTGTGATCTGGGGAGGTCAGCCAAAATTTCCTGGTGTATCCGTTGTTTCATACCTACAGAAAAGAAGCACCTTTTACTAAGTCAAGCTTATACAAAAAATAAAGAAGTGTTTTTGAGGTTGCTTACATTCATTTTCTTCCCGACTAATTCTAATATATTTAGCTTTTTATTCCCTTCAATCCTTTCTACAATATGGCGATCAATGCAGAAGAGAGAAAAAAACACATTTGAAATAAACAGAGAAAGACAAGCTCATTGTCACTGATGTGTCGTTTTGCTGTTGTGGCATGCCTTCTGGTATTCTGCCTTCTCTGTTATCTGTCTATACTATTAGCTTTCTGGATCAAAGCCATTTTCTCTACACATAGAGTTATATGAACGATATTGTAGAGCCTTTTGTTTCTCAGCACTGGCATTTGTGAAGGGATAAATGGCTACTGCCCCGTTGCAAAAAGGAACTACTAATACCAAGATGCATTTGTTGCTCTGAGCTGTCGTGGGCTGGAGTCCTGCAAAGTCAATCTGCAGTCATTCCCCTGGGCCTTCGGTACACTGGTGCTGGCCTGAGGCTTTTACTCCAGCATAATCAGCACTGGTCAGGGCACAAGCATGACAGTTCTTACATCAGCAATCTACTGTCTTCCTCATGTTATGCCACAAATCAGTGTCCTTCACTCCGCTTAGACCATCTGTTTTTGCTCATGGGTTAAGTGGATTAGACAGCTTTTAGTAAATTGAGGCACAGTCCAATAATGTTTGCCTTCTGCCACTATAGCACAATACATTTGATTTTCCCTTACTCAGAGGATTGGCCGGATGGATCTTTTCACACTGTTCCACTTAACTTCCCTAGCTGGAAGGAGATGTTCTCCCCAAATAATGGATTCTACCACAGTTACTTGGCGTGACCTGCACTCAACTCTTTCAGTCTGAGTTTGCCACAGATAATCCAGCACGTTTCGTGGATATCTGGATATCTACTAAGAACCAGGAAGAGTTTCTTGGATTCCAGTGGCCACTTCAACTGTGGATCATCCCCAACGATCCACTGTCTTATTGTGGGGGGGAGGATTTAGTGTGCTGGGCTGGGCTGCAGTACAGGGACAAAGACAACTGCTAGCAATCAGATCCCTTGGGGCTCTCCTTCCAGGCTCCATCTGCAGTCCCAAAGGGCTCTGGTCTCCTGCAGGTTCTCTCTGACAACTGTTAGTCCCAGGAGGTACCTCAGGAACACCAGGGCCTCTCGAGATGGCACCGGCTGCTTGTGGTCACACGGTGGAGCTCTGCTTGAAAACCTGAAGTTATCTTCAGTGTTTTTCAAACACTCAGCACCTCCTCATGAGCTGCCCTGGTTCAATCCTGTCAGTGAAACACGCACACAATAAGTGGAATTTCTATCATGAGAAAACGTGACCTTTCAGGATGGATATTCACTGTATGGAAAGAAATACCAATCTTCCACTGCTCTTGCACTGACAACTCTCTCTCATTCTGTGCATGTAACTGCCCTCATTTTACAGGTATTTCCACCTGCCCTGATTAGGCTGACCACGTTGGAAGCCACCTTTCCAGCTGCCTGTCTCAACCTTTGCAGTTTCTATTGTTATCCCAATTTCCTCTCCCCTTAATCTCCGATCATTTATAGCCCTTTTAATGAGTGCAGTTCTTTGAGTTTCAGGGAGCTAATGTTTGTCCCTCCTTAGCAGTTTGTCTCACTGTGTCCTTAGCCAGCTTACTGTTTAATTAATATGCCTTTCATATTAATATTTATCATTTCCTATCTATGTACGTGACATATTTCTTGTACAGTCATCTTTTGGGAAGGAGAACTTCAGTGGAGACATACAGCTGAGGAGTACGTTCTATTTCTTGGTAACCTGTGTTACGCTTTGTTACGCTTACTGTTCTTTGTTTAAACGTAAGAGAAACCCTTCTGCACCCGTGTTCTCTGAGGAGAGCAGGTGGCAGCTGCTACAAAGGGTCTGAAACATTCAGTGCAGACTTTAGAAGAGAAGTCTGATGTAAGGAAAAGCAAGGCAAGTGCCAGGTGGCATTAAGCAGACAGGGCTGGGGAGATGGGCAGTCACGTTGTCCACGCAGTGTCAGATTAAGCAACTGCTCTTCCTGCCTATGCAGGACTCCTTAAGGGACACCCTGGATCCATGTCAATTGGAGAACGACGCTCCAGAGCCAATAAAGGAACATTATGGAACAGACACAGCTCACTGTAACCTTCTGCACTTTAGAAAGATCCACAGTATATTTAGTGCTACTTCTGCGAACGTAAGGTACTGAGAGGAGAATCACGGAATCATTAAGGTTGGAAAGCTCATCCAGTCTAACCATCCACCTGCCAACAACACTGCCCAACAAACCCTGTCCTGAAGTACCACAGCTACTGGAAATTACGCACCTCCAGAGACTCCACCGCTTCCCTGGGCAGCCTGTGCCAATGCCTCGCCACCCCTTCTGGGA